AACGTTGTCATGTTGCCGTTGTTCAGCATGGAAACATTCATTAGCTAACAATGACATTATTGTTCTATTAATATAAAGGGAGGTCAGGTACTCTTTAAAAACAGCTGGTCGTTATGGGTACTTTTTTACTGAAGTACATTTCAAAGCCTCTTTACTTTTACTTGAGTAAAGAAGTTTAGTCAGTACTTCTACTTTCACCAGAGTATTTTTAAACACGAGTATCTGTACTTCTACTTGAGTGAAGGATGTGTGTACTTTAACATCTCTGCTGTTTGCTTTCTCTGTTGAACCCATTTCTCATCTCTAATCCTCTAGGTGAACCTCTGAAGGAAATAGGCTGTGAGTTCTGCGGAGAATACTTTGAGAACCGTAAAGGCCTCAGCAGCCACGCCCGATCCCACCTGCGTCAGATGGGAATCACCGAGTGGTCGGTCAACGGCTCGCCCATCGACACCCTGAGAGAAGTCATCACGAGACGAGGCCTGCCTTGTGCTCTTCCTCTGAAACCTCTCAAAACTCCCCCTCACTCCTCTCCGGGACCCCCTCGTTCCCCCTTGCCTACCTCCTCCTCGTCTCCTTCCTCCTCCCTCCTAAGCCGTCTGCCCTTCGCCTTCGCCCGCCCTGCCAGTCCTCTTCAGTCTAAATCCAGCTCCACTCCCCCCACCTCTTCTTCTAGCGGGCTGATCCTGAATCTGAAGCCCGAGCCGGTGCAGATGGAGGTCACAGCTCCTGGATCTGTTGGAAGGACGTCAGGATTCTCCGGTGACGCTCTGAACTGCAGCTGGAGCAGCTCCGACAGCGTGTTCCCCCTCAACCTGGGTAATATATATTATTATGTTAATGTCATTTAGATCACTTCTGAAAACCCACCTCTTCCCCTTATCGTATTGACATCTTGTAGATAGTTGCTTTTATTGCTTTTAAATCGTCTATTGTTTTTGCTTGTACTTGTTTAAGGTGTGTGAGCTGAGCTGTGTGATTTGTTTAATGTTTTTTGTGTTTATTTGACTGTACAGCACTTTGGTCTGGAGGTTTTAAAGTGCTTTATAAATAAAGCTGTATTGTATCAGTGATTTTCAACAACTGTGCTGTGAGAGATCGCCAGGTGTGCCATGGGAAATTGGCCAGTTAAACTTAATAGGTCCAAAAAATTGCTATGTTGTTGCTGCAAATAATTAGCCATTGGTGAGCCGTGTGTGGGGAAAAGCTACCCAACAGTGCTATGGTCCCCAGCAAGCTTAAACGTCCTCTTCAAACCAAACACCTGTCTCTTCAAAACTAGAACACAGACTATTTTGTTCGCCTGAGTAAACAAAGAACAACCAGAAAGGGGTCTGAGAGCTCCCCAAGCTAGCTTCCTGCCACAATTATTAACACTTAAATCAGACTTTAGTTCCACCTGGAGTAAATCCACAAGCTACCCTGCAGTATACAAAGTCATTCAAACAAGCTGCACCTTTACCAGCTTTGAGAACACTTTCATGATCAATCATTATAAAACATATCATATATATTATTCTGAAATGGACCAATCTGCACAATGACTACTTTCACTGTCGCGACTTTCACTATATTTTGATGAGAATACTTTTCTACTTTTACTTGAGGAACATTTTGAATGCAGGACTTTTACTGTAACAGAGTATTCCTACACTCTGGTACTTCTACTTTTACTAAAGTACAAGATCTGAGTACTTCTACTTTTACTCAAGTACAAGATCTGAGTACTTNTCAAAGTACACCCTGTAGCGAGTACAACTCTAACACAGAAAAGACCTGTCTGTGCTGCCCAAGAACGCCTCGTTGGAGATTTCTCTTTTTCTAAATGGACCAATCCGCGGAGCTCCTCTCACACACACGCACCCGCACTCAGCCAGCCTTATTTTTCTCAGCTGCAGCTCCGGATTTCTCAGCCTGAGACAGCGGGCTGTGAGTCTGTGTGTGTGCTCGGGCCGGGCTTCGCCGTGTCCTGCTGTCCCGCAGACCCCACACAGCAATCAGGAAACGACACCAGTAACCCAGCTCACACTGTCCGCTCCAGCAGCGAGCCCCGCAACGTCCCGCCAACACGGCACCCAGACCCCACGCAGCATTCTCATCTGTTTGTCATTACTGGTGTCCTTTTCTGGTTGCTAACAAACAACATGGTAACACATAGGCCCAATCCCAAACCACTCCCTCGAACCTACCCCTCCGTGACGGAGTTAACTCCGTCTGTAGCCACACTCTCAGCTCAACGAGGCTCCCTCCTGTCAGATGGAGGGAGTAAATACAGCAGCAAGCTTTGGGACAGCCTCCCCTCTCTCCGGCAGAAACAGGAAATGCCGTAACTGTATGTAACAACGGTTTCAAATCAGCATCTCTTAGACAAAAAATGTAAATTAATAACTCAAATAAAACTTCAAACATATTTCATTGTGTTACTTTTTTGTAAAGCTCTTTTAGTTTTAAACCTGATGTTTATAAGCTTCTTAGTTTTTGCAACAGTCTGTAAATATACACAACTTTATAATAAAATGCACACATTTACCTTTTTCTAGACTAAACACAGGTATGATCCTAAGTTAAAACATTATGAGGTTATCATGAGGTTGACATCGCAGTTTATCAGTGGATGTTTGCTGGAACTACTTGTAAACAGCGTGTTTCCTGACGGACACACACAGCGTGACTCCGGTAAGGTAGAGACCGGTCTCAAGTCAGCACCGCTGCAGACTCGCTGTTTGAGGGCTTGATAGCCCACTCCCCCTCCACACCCTCCACACTCGTTGGTTTGGAACAGCCCTCAATATGGCGGACCCTCCGCGTGAACGCGCAAACGAAGGGGTAGTGTGTAGGGGGCGGTTTGGGAATGGGCCTAAATTATGTTTTATTCCTCAACATAACATGTGTTGTCTGTTATGGATAGAATGTATATTAACTTAAGGACAAAGATAGCTTTCTTTGGAGCTTTTAAATACATCACATGATATTCAAATACAAAAACAGAAGCTCGTAATACATCTTATGTGCAAAATTTCAATATTAATAAAGTTTAAAAAAAATATGTACCACTAGTCAAATGTTTTTAAAAGTTCCATTTTATATATGACCATGCTACATTTAAAAAAAATCCTTTCTACAGCAAAGTAAAGGAATATTTGGACATTTATGGACATTAAGGCTATTCGTTTTCTTGCCTAGATTTAGTAGACTAAAACTACTATCATATCTGTACGATAAATACAAAGCTACAACCAATTAGCTTAGCCTAGCATGTACAGTCGCTGCGCAAGGCAAGAAATGTCCTGTTCCTCAACTCAGATACTTCTGTTACCACGCTTTCATGTAGTACACTGTGTACACTATTTACTTTCTTGTGTAGTGTGTGTATTTCAACATGGTAGTGTCATTTTTAATCGCACATGCCTGTTGTGAACTTTACACAAATAACGTTTACCGCTGTAAATTAACTAGCTAGCCCGCTAGTCTTTGTGTTATCCTTTGCTGTACCGATCATAAGAGACTGCGAATGTGAGCATTATTTGGCCTTGTAGTGCCACAAGTTATATTTAATGTATTGTGATTTATAACACAAGGATACCACAGTTCAAGTTTAGTTGGTTTTATGCTGATTAGGAAACTCACCACTATTTACTTTCTTGCGTACTGTGTGTAATTCAACGTGGTAGTTTCATTTTTAACCGTACACTGCTGTTGTGAATTTTACGCAAATAGCGATTGCCGCTGTAAGCTAGTTAGCCCGCTAGTCTTTGTTATGTTTACAGGACCAAATCATGAGACAGCTATTGTGAGCATTTGGCCTTATAATGACATTACTAGTACCACAAGTTATCTTTGATATTATATGATTATTATTATTACACCAGCACACTGCGGTTTTAAGTATCAGTTGTTGATATGTAATGTAATGCTGATTAGGAAACTCATCTCTGTCCCTCTTCCAGAAGAGCAGCTCTCCTCTCACAACGGATTCTGATCATATCCTCCCCATCTCATCGCAGAAGACCTCCTCTTCCTCCTCCTCCTCCTCCTCATCCTCTCAGTGGTCTTCTTCTTTCGCTGTGAGCCTGGTGAGGCCTCTGACCAGAGACGTCAGCCAGGGTTCTTCAAAGACCGCTGAAGGGGAATCTGGTCTCGACCTAAACTCTCCGTTCAGACCCGATCGTGGCAGCCCGTCGCGGCTCGCTGACTTCCCTCTTCAAGCTCAGGTGGCACGAAGTGAGCTTAACGTCCGCCTGCCCAGAGGTACGTCAGGATACACCAAAACAAAACTCACTTCTTCAGACGGGCTTTTAATGTGTGAATAATGTTGTGTTGCTGTTTTAATATTTTAATTCAACTTTTTATATTTATTTGATTTCCTTCTTATCACCACTTTAAAGTGTCTTTGAGCAACAGAAAAAGCGCTTAGATATTAAATGTATTATTATGAAATGTTATTGCACTCAGTCAGATACATATGCCTGCATTCAATACACCCACTTCTTCAGATGTTTTACCTTTTGTCAACTGGATGTATTCATACTGAGGTAGTGGTATGCTTTCAAAGACTTGGATTAAAACAACAGCAACATTTTTACATCAGAGGTCTTCTGTACAAATTGAAATTTACAAAATAACATTGGGTGTTTTAAATGAAATGATAAAGGCAATAAGACTCGTATGTGTATGAAGTGTTACCACGTTCATACTGTATGTTGACAATACACACTCTTTATTTGTACATCTGTTTATTCCACATAACTTTACGATCTTATTAGCGCATTAAGGGTATATGTCTCCAATGTTTCCTCTCTCTCTTGCTAAGGTTTCGAGCGTCGACCCTTAAAGCACCCGTCGTGCCCTGAGGGAACGGAGAGCCCTCCTAAACCCCCCCGCACAGGCACCGTCCCCGCTCTGGTGCCCAAACCCCCGTCCTATCCACTGGTCAAACTGGTGGGGAAGTTCTACACCCTGAAGTGCCGGTGAGATATCAGACTTGTTTTTTTGTGATCACATTTTTATTGAGATTAATACACAACATGTACAACCAAAAGCACATTTAAAAAAAAAAAAATTACTAAAATTAGAAACAGCAATTACTTACAAAATATACAAAATACAGAATACATGTATAAGCTAAACATAATAACAATAATACAGACATAAAATAAAAACGAAATAAAAAAAACCCAACACACACACACACACACACACACACACACACACACACACACACACACACACACACACACACACACACACACACACACACAACAGCACACACACACATACACAGCACACAACGACTGGTATACCATCCTGAGTATCAGAAATGTTGAGACCTACGCAGCATGAACACAACCTGCCTGGCTACTTTTAAATATTCTTTTAATCCCTGACAGCACCTCCACCCCCTTGCTGAGCAGTACTCCACTTTTTAGTGGTAATGCACTATATAGGAGGATACCTGAATCATTATGGCTTTTTTAGGGAACACGACATAAGTGCTGTAAGTTCTGAGACGACTGCAGAAACAGAAGTAAAACTAAAACAGAATCGGCCTGCCTCCCCTGAGGGGAGCACTGAGTTTAACACACGCGCCAGCAGTTTGCGTTTACTGTCTTTGTGGTGAAAGCTTGCTGCAGCCACAGAATATGGAGATTTGGATATATTTTTTGCATAAATTCCAGCCCTGTAGCTGCATTTTGCGTATCTTTCAATGATTTTTGTATCAATCCGTTTGCACAAATTGTTACACTGATCTCGCTGACAGTGCTGGATGAAACACATATTCAGTAATGCTCCTCTCCGTAATCCATCCTAATGGTGTTTGTAAGATTCCACAAAGGAAAGCACCAATCAAGAGTCAATCCAAACTTGTCACATTTGGCGCATACATTACGTTTGAAATCAACGTTCTGCTCCTCATTTCATATTTCCTCCCCTCAAATGTTTTCAGAACCTATTTTAGTGTATGTTCAGCTGTAGAATGAGAACATCTCCTCTCCGGGCACTCGCTTCTGGTTAGCTCTCTTTTGTTTTCAACGTTGGGCTCATCTGCAGCCACACATTAAAATATGGTAACACATTCAAGACGCAAAAAAAGAAACTTTTGGATTCATATTCGATCAAAGCCACCTAGTTTGACAGTTTGATTGGATTTTCGAGAAGCAGTGATTTACACTGATTTCAGAGTCCTTGGCTCTTATTGGTTTNGAGATGCCGCTAGAAGAGAAGACTCCCGTCGGAGAGAGGAGAATTTTCAGCCGCTCCTACTCTTGCTGCTGAAAATTCATGCAGACAGGCCAATCATATGCGAGGACACACTAGGATCATACCATTATGTGAAAGAAGGGCGGGGGGCACAGCAGGTGTAGTGGTACAGGCCAGCTGCACAGAGCGACGGTAGCCGGATTTAAATGCAAGCGCGTCAGAAAAAGTCAAGAAATTTGCAAAAACCGTAAAAAGAAGCAGCATCTGGCTGCATTTCAATGATATTGGAGAAAGCAAAGCTGAGTGCAGGATTTGTAAAATGAAAATAACCTTCAGAGCAGGGTTTTTTTTTGGTAACCACTCAGGATTTATTGCCAGAGGTGGGAGAAGTTCAGGTCTTGTACTTGAGTAAAAGTACCAGAATGTAGGAATACTCGGTTACAATAAAAAGTCCTGAATTCAAAATGTTACTCAAGTAAAAGTACAAAAGTATTAGCATCAAAATATACTCAAAGTACCACCTGCAGAGGGATGTAGATTCAGGAGTTCTTTTCCCCATAGAGACCGCCTCGCTGTACATTATCCCTTATAACATGTTGTACACAGTGGAAATAAACATTCTGGTCACCTCAACATCAGGGATCTTATACAGTAAACTCCTTCTAACTCAAACCGTCACGGTAGCCTTACCTTACTGATCCCTCTTTAAAAAACACGTTACTTTACCAGCAGAGAGAAAATGGATTATTAAATTATTAATGTGACTAATAAAGAGCAGTTTGATTATTAAGTATTATTCAGTTGATCGATGTCATTACATTTGGTGAAAAGCACATAACGACTTCTTTAAGACTCGTTTTGTCAAAGTTTAGGACTTGGACTTGCCCATCCTGACTTGAGACTTGACTCGGACTTGAGCGCAAAGACTTGAGACTTGACTCGGACTTGCAAAACAATGACTTGGTCCCACCTCTGGTTTATACCCCACTTGTAAATGTCTAAAGCTTTCACGCAAGTGGTTAAATGGTCGTTAAACTGATAGTCATTACGCCGAACATTAGCCGCATTTAGCTTAGCGGTTGTGATGTGAAGACCGTGATGTAGTTATTTTATAACCTAACATTAGCATTTTACTACTTAAAAAGGTGTTAATATGTGGAGTTTATCCTGCTAGACAAAACATGTAAGTATCATGCATTTGAGTTCGCCACAGATTCTATTTTCTGCTATGTTTGTCCAATTCTAAAATACCATTGACTTTTTGTCTTGGGACAATGCTGGCTTCGGGGTCGATGCACCACTCTGTCAAACGGGAGATTTCCGGGTTAATGAAACCCCTCCATTCCTCTCCCTTTATGAACAGTGGGTTTCTAAGAATGGTGAGACCTTCCCCATTTCTATTAGCCTCTCACCCAAAGGTCCTGACTGAGATTAGACATTTATAATTAAGCTAGTCTTGCGGTTGAGACGTCAAACATGTGGTAACACTTATTTTTAAAACAGGCACTTTTAATGTTTTAAAACATTGTCACTTAGCACTTATTGAAACGTCCATTTTAAATGGCCGAAATATGACTAATTCCAATTGGTTGAAGGAGCCAGTAGTGGAAGCACACCCAAAAAGGGAAGATCCACCCCCTTGTAACTTGATAATGTAACTAATTCCCCCCAAAAATATACATGTTGCTTGAATGTAGCTTAAAGCACCTATTAATACCTTATATGCACACATTTGTACACAATCAAACATACGCCCCATGTTGCGATACCATTGATATATTATTTTCTTATGACGTTTTGACTCCAGAGCTGCTGTTATTATAAAACCTAGCAGGGAAGCAGGGCCATAAAAATGTCAAGGTTACTCTTTTCAAGTTCTTTCCATTGACAGTGTTGCCATTTTCTTCCTGCCTTTTCTTCCCCAGCTCTACCCAAGTTTTATTTATTTATTTGTATGCATCTGAATGTGGTAAGCTAGGTCATTTTGAAGCTAAAGTAGAACTTTGGAATGTTTGAAAATAGGTCAGCGGTGCACTTTTACACAAGGGCAACGTGTGTGTGGTAGTTTGTATGCTTTTGTACATACATAGCTAATGTGCATTGGTTTCCCAATCGAGAGAGGAGGACGGAAGTAAACTTACTGATGGGAAGCAGCCCCTCAGCTCAAAGCAGACTACATGAGGGTCTGTTTCTAGTCTGATCGGGACTCAAATGCATCCGGCGTCATGTTAAGGTGAGCCAAAGAGTCCGTTTACTTCCTGGTCTTGCCTCTGAAAAAAGCTGTTTACATTGGACCTGATGGTGGAGGAGACTCTGCACAGCTATCGAGTTCCCACTGACGAATGGACAGACGATCTGCACCCACTACATGCACAGAAAGAGCAGAAGACTTGGCCTTTTAGGGTTAGATTATTCCAATTAAACATGGAAGACAAACCAAACTTGATTTCGATCGGGGCTCTGGAGAACTGCTCGCCTTCGATCCAAAAGCAGAAACCAGTTCTTCTTTCCCTGCTTCAGAGTGCGTTTATGTCTACCCACGACTGAAGCAAACACTAAAGTTTGCAACATGACTGTTCGATCCAAACCTTTTACGAAGTATAGAAACTATATAACTACATGTACTTTAAGAAGCTGTTGATGCTAGTAGAGCTATCAGCAGTTCTATTAGCGAGGTAGTTAAAAGAAAAAAAAAAGAAGTGATCTTAATTCCTCTATCGTGATTTGATTTCAACCTTTGTATTTTTTATTGCGCTGTGCATTTCTGTATTTGCAGTCCTGCAAAGGTGAATCTTTAGAGTATTTTTTATTTTGTAGTCTCTCCAAGGTGCTGGTGAGAATGTCGCAGGTCAGGTTGGCGAATGACTGAACGTGAGGAAGACATTTTAATGTGATTGTAATACGCAGGCCTTAAAGGGGAACACTTGTAGAGATTTGATCCTATTCTGCGCTCACAGTAATGGACGCTGCAGGTTTGTGGCTAAATTCTGTGGAGAGTTCCCTTTAACGTTACCTGAACAAGCCTCCGCTGGTGTAACGGCTGTTAAGTGTGTTTGTATGAGTGTGTGTGTGTTTGTGTGTGTGTGTGTGTGTGTGTGTGTGTGTGTATGAGTGTAAAAAAACACGGTGAGATGACTTTAAAGATTAAGCAGAGGAAGAAGCAGTAAAGGATAGAAGCGTACTGTAAACAAAGGGTTACGTTTTAAGTTAAACTCCAGAACAAACAATAAATGTGATTTCAATTACACACACTGACTCCATCGCCTTTTATTGTCAATTTTCATCTCCCATCTTTACCTTCTGGGCCACTTGGGTGTTAAATGTTCTGTAAAAACTCTGGTTTGTAATGGTTTTCCGCCACTAGGGGGCAGTACACTATTAGTTTAATGATAATGGTTGGTTGAATGTTTGACTCCAAGCAGATCTGACATGAATTCACACCCCTAGAAAGATGAGAGAAACAGAAGTTAGTTGGGAATTTAATTAGAACACAATGTCTAAATAGCCTTTGGCTTAACCAAATGCCATACACATAAAACTAAACAGTACAGTTAATGGAGGAAAGTCATTCAGAACAAAACGACATAACATGACTTCATTAAAGACTTTGAACTTGTCTGGACGCTGAAAACAGAGATTGACTAAAGTGCTCATTTACTTTTACAAGCTTTTTCATACGAAACCCAAACTAACTACAACCAATAAATGTAAAGAATCTGTTGGAAGTGTCTGGCTATAAATAAGGTAAAATCCCCATCATAATGTTTGG